GCTAAAAATGAATTCGAGAAAAATTTATCCAAGTTGATGAATAACGCTGTCTTTTTGAAGACTATAGAAAACATCCGGAAGAGAATTAAAGTTGAGCTTCTAACGAAATGGGAAGGAAGATATGGCACTGAAGCATGGGCTTCGAAGCCAGAGTTCAGGAACTGTACTATATTCAACGAGAATTTAGTTGCTGTAGAGCTAGAAAAACTTGAATTATATCCTGATAAGCCCATTTACGTTGGTCAAGTTATTCTCGATTTAGCCAAAACTACTATATATGGCTTCCATTACGATTATATGGTGAAAGAATTTGGTAATGATTGTTCTGCTTGCTACACCGACACAGACTCCCTCATCTATTAGCTCCATAAAAATCCGTATGAAGTTAAAAGGAGAGATTGCCACACCCACTTCGATACGTCTGACTATCCTGAAGATAATATTCATGGAATTCCTCAGGTGAACAAGAGGGTTCTAGGAATGATGAAAGATATGTAGGTCTACGATCAAATGTATACTCTACAAAGGTGCTTGTAACTGATGATGATTTTGCGAAAAAGAGGGCAGAGTTACGGGAGGGGGATTATGATGAGGACGAGATTAATAATATTATAATGAATATGGGTGTTGCAAAGAAAGCGAAAGGCGTGAAATCGTCTGTTGTCAAAACAGCTATCACTTTCGAGGATTACGTCGACTGTCTGGAAACACACGAGCATAAGGAGGTTCCTCAAATTTTGATAATAGCGAAAAAGCACCAGGTTCATTCCATAATTCAAGAAAAAAACGCGTTCTGTTCAGAAGATGACAAGAGGTATATTGTACCAGGATCCTGCGAAACTCTTCCATGGGGACACTATAGTATAATGGAGACTTGAAACGTCAACTGCTGATTATAGTTCATATTATATCTATATTATATGTGCTTCACCTTTTATTTTGTACCAATATATTTTAAAATATCGTATTGAGTTCAATTTCTACATCCTGTGTTAGCTATAATAAATAGATAACACAGGATAATAACAGATAAACATTCTATACAATATATTTATTTTGGAAGCAAAGGGCGAAGTTTATTTTTTGCTGTGTAAACACACCAAAAAATATATTTCTACTTAACCCTCAACAACCTGTGCTGTCGTGCAAAAAAAAATCGATGTGATAGGTATAGTCAGTACAATATTATAGAGATATGAATATTCATACAAAGTGGGATCAATTATAATTCCTCAAATATTATTTTTGAGATTCCAATAGATATTTTTTGAGGTATAATTTGAATTTCGATGTGTTTAATTCTTTTATTTTTCCAAAAACCGGGTTGCAAAGATAGCAGATTTGATAACTGAAAGAGCGTCTGGAATGTTATGTTTTGAAAGGTGGCATAGTTAAAAGTCCCTTATTCCTAATATTCAAGTTATGGACGTCGGTACGGTATGATATTTTTTCCGAGAGATAGGGAGGTACGTTTTTGGTAATAATTTTATGGTATAGAATTTTTTTTTCTCCTTTATTCACCAAAATTCTATACAACCTACATCATAAATTATTATTTTCATACATGGCACTTAAGTATATATTTACATCCATGTAGTGAATATATTTGTTTGCAGGGAATCAGTCTTATGAAATAAGGTTGAACTTCTTCTTTCTATACATACATACATTTATATGTTTAATCGTATACTATGCTGACTATCTTGAGCATTTCAGTTTTTCTCTTTTTTTTTTTCGGTAGCTTCATCCAATTATATATGAGTTGTAATTTGAAATATTCTAGTTCCCCATAAATAAATTCATCATACGTAAAATCTATGAAAGATCCAATAAAAAATATGATTTTATCCTCATGTTTTTTAAACCTTGTGAATTCTGGCGAGAGAAAATATTTCAAACTCATTATTTTTTCACATATACGTTCAATTTCATTTTGTACATATCTGAATACTTCAAGCAAGTTTTTGTTATATTGGATTTTGTGTTCAGCTGTGTCTCTTTTTCCGCATATCAGACAATTTGCTGTAGGGCTTTTTTTGATTTTGTAGAGGAACTCCTTCGTTATAATGCATTCATGTACGACCATGTACCAGATTGAATTTTGATCAGAATTTAAAATTTTATTGTTTACATTATTCCAGACATAATTCCAATTTGTATTTTGTCGTTTCTGTATAATATGTGGCTTGTGATTTTTGTTTCCAATCATATATTTGTACACGATTTTCATTTTCTGTTTTTCTTGTGATGTTAACAAATCTATATCAATATATCAAATAATTTCAACAAGTTTTCTTATATGTGGCAATTCATAATACATTTTAGGGTTGTTGGGGGGATTTTGGAAGCTCACATTGATGTAATTGTACATTTCAGGGTTGTTGTTCATTGACAACAAGGTTCTTTCAATAAGTAGAGTATTTGCTTTGGACAGTGGATCGAATAATTCAATACCACCTTCGGATTTTTTTATTACTAGTGTATCCCTTGCAATTTTTCTCATTTTACCTTTTCACAGAAACCACCCAATTTGTGGATTGATCTTGTTCGCGAATTTTCTGGTCATGGGTAAAATTTGAGCTCAAAACCAAATTTTTTAGAGGACATACGTCTTAATACAATAACTCTTTTGTTGAAGATTCAGATTTCTATTTTTATGATTGTCCAGAATACCTATCACCTGATTCACTATTTTCTCCCAGTTTTTTCAACTATAATTTCTATATTCTCATGGAACTCTATACCTTATATTTTCATATCATTTTTCAAATTCACCCAGTCAGTTCTCATTCAATTTTCTGAGTTGTGATGTGGGCCGTATTGCGTTGCATTGGTTTTAGTTTCGTTCAATTTGGCACCTGATTCCATGCAGAACGTATCAATTTTATTTTTTATTCTTTCCAAATTTGCACTTCTTTTCGCTATTATAGAGATATCATCAGCATAAGCCACTACGTCTACATAGTTTTCTGTTGACAAAGATTCAATTAGGGGTTCTATATAATATAATAAATAACAACATTGATAGAGGACATTCCTGTCTCACTGACTGCATGATTGGTATTTTTTTGTCAATCTTCCATTAATCTGAATTTGAGACTTGGCGCTTGAGTAAATATTCTGAATGATTTGTATAAAATCCTCCGTGAAACCGAAATTTTTCATTGTGTCCCAAAGGATTTTATGGTTGACTCGGTCAAAGACGTGGTCTAGGTCTAAGGAAATTATATATTTAGCTTCATTCATTTGATTGGCCTGCCCTATAGATTTTCTTATTTTCATAAGTGCATCAAAAATACTGCGGTTAGGACAAGCAGTTTGAGCATTTCCAATAATTTTATCAACAGCATCAACTAACCTATTTTTGATACATTTCATAACTAGCTTATAATCGAAATTGAGTAGTGATATGGGCCTAAAGTCATTCGGTTTTCTTGGCTTATTTTTTTTTGGAATTAGTGTAATTATGCCATCTTTGAAAATGTCTGGAATATTTTTTTTTGTACTTATTTCATTAATGATTTCAGTGATCTCAGAACCCAATAAGTCCCAAAAGCATTTATAAAATTCGCTTGGCAATCCATCTTTTTCTGGTGTTTTACATTTGTTGGATGAAAATAAAACTTTCTCAACTTCCAGTTTAGTATATTCTTTAGTCATTGAGATTGCTTCTTCTCTATTGAGACGTTTTTTGGGTGTACTATCATCATGAAGTCCATTAAAATTTTGTTGATTGTGACCGTATAAGTTTTCAAAATAGTTGACAAATACATTTTCTATATCATCCCGTGACCTTGCTTCCTCATTTTTTAAATATTCAATGCAAGCGATGTGATTTCTTCTTTTATTTTTTTGTTCTTTAATGACCTGGAAAGTGCTGATCATTCTATCTTCAATTTGCGGCAGTTTGGCTCTAACGTGAATTCCATTTAGGTACTTTTGTTGAGCTTGGAGGATGTGTGCTTTGATTTTTTTGATTTTTTAAAAAGTTTCTGGGTGTTGCGGGTCATCTTGGTAGGCCTGCCTCAAACATGACATAAAAAATTCAATTGTTCGTCTATTCTTCCTATACACTACGGACGATTGCCATTTCAAGAAACTAACGATCTTAGGCTTAGCGAAATCACACCACCAAAGAATTGTTGAATTATATCTAGATTTTTTGGATTTTATATTTCTCCAATTACTTCTGAAATTATCAATAAACTGCTCGTCATTTGAGTTTCCAATATTGAGCTTCCATTATCCCCTTCCACTATGCGTTTTTTCGAAATGTATTTTCAATCTTGTCACATAAGCGCAATGATCTGACAAAGCTGTTGGCTGTATCTCGCATAATCCTATTTTTTCTTTCAAACTGGTGGATACATATAATCGGTCTAATCTAGATGCACCAGTTGAATAGTGATATGTATATTCTATTTTTTGTTTATTATTTTTCTGCCATGTATTCACCAATTTGAATCCATTTATTATGTCTATAAGAGCTTGTGATTTGTTTGTTGGATTACTATTAGTACTTTCATTAGCTTTAAATATACAGTTGAACTCACCACCCAGTATAATTCAAGATTTATTTCCATTGAATAATTTTGCTATATCTATATTATAAAAGTGTTCTCTCTGTGATTTTTTATTAGATCCGGATGGTGCATAAACATAAATAATTTTTGTTGAATTGATATTAAGGGCAATACCTCTTCAATCTTCTAAAAAAATTACATTTTCTACTGTTAGGTGATTTTTCACCATAATTGCTGTTCCTCTATTGTTTTCTGTTACATTAATAAATACATTATACTCTCGAAACTCTTTGAATGTTTGATTGAATACTTCTTGAAGTAACATTACATCAATTTCATTTGTGCGAAGCCAAGTTCTCAACAAAATCAATTTGTTTTTGTTATGGAATTGGCCCATATTCAAAGTGCCAAAGACATAACAGAAATTGTCTGCTGCTTGCATTTTCATGTAGAAAAACTTACTTGAAGTAAATACATTCAAAATGATTCCATATCAGAGTCACCACTCTGATTTTTGGTGGCGGATTTTTCAGCATCTCTACTTAAACCCAAAGGATCTTGATTATATCTTGGATTGGATGGCCAGTCATACGAATTTTCATTTTCCATCTGATCGTGTCCCATCTCTTCATTCCATGACTTTCTGGGTTTCTTTGGTGTTGGTTCCTTGTCACCCCTGTTTACCATATTGTCCGGAAATGTATCTACCTGGAATGAAGAAATTATGTCTTGCGATTCCCTGAACATTTCCTGAGACGTATTTGGCTCTGCCCTTGATTTTTCCGTGACTCCTTCATTTATAACTGCTCTAGGTATGGTAGTTTCAGTTTGCTTGGTAACTTCTGAGTATGACCTGTTGACAAATTGTGGGACTGGAAGAATCGTAGCATTTTTCTGAGTAGCTCTGTTATTTGGACAGTTTTTTAGCATATGTTCTTCACTACTACAAAACGTACAGGTTCGTTTCTGTCCTGAATACGTTATCAGAGTGTTTTTACCATATATAACTATGTATGAGGGAATCGGTTGACTGAGTACCATATCTATAGCACGAACACCCGATGGTACAGGATACGACATTGATTTACCCCATACTTCGTTTTTTAGGCTGATTACTTGCCCATAGTGTGATTCAGCTTTAATTATAGCTTCATTTCCCATATGAATTGGAATGTAGTGAACCCTTACTGTTGTAATCGCATTTCCATCTCTTATTTCCACGTTATATCTCTCACTGTCTTCTGTAGATACTATATGATCTCCATGTCCTTCAATGGTTCTTCTCACTATTTCTTGGGATGCTAACTGTATATATACTTTAATACCTATTATTCCAATTGCCTTCACTTCTTCCAACTTGAATTTCAGTTTATCCAATATCAGCTTATGTATTTCCATTGGCGTTACTTTCACCTTGATTTCACTCAAGTTCAGGCTCAGCGTGTTTTTCCTTCTTAAATCCATAAACTATCGACAAATACGTTCTCTGATAAGAGAACCGGTTCAAATTAAATATTGAACACTTGGACACGACCTCTCGGTACGATATCCAAGTCGAGACTGTGAATGAGAGTGTGATGTGTTCTCCTATTGTCCATATTTAGCCATCCGATTTCATGAAGTTTTTGTGAAATTCTTTGCCTCCTGCGGATACCAAAGATCAATCGCAGGCATGCATTTTGTATTTTTTGGATTTTTGTCTTATATCGGTTGGTCAAATTGGGACCATAGAGAGCATCAGCATGATTGAATTGGGAGAGAACCAGTGTTTCACATAATAGTTTGTTGACACGTATCGGCAGTCAATGACGGTTACCATAAATCATTTTCAAACTACCATAGGCACGCTACAGTAACTTATTTACATGCTTTTCAAATCTCAAGTTAGAATCCATTGTTACTCCTAGATTTCGTGCTTTCTCTATCATCACAAGCTGTTCATTATTGATATTTATATTGATGGAGTTGACAACATTCTCGCGGTGGTTTCTACTACCAAACAACATAACTTTGAATTTGCCAGGATTTATAAGTAAGCAATGTTCTGAAACTGCTCTTACTACCTTATGTTGAGAAAAACTATGATGAATCTGCGTGTCGTCTGCATATAGATGTACATTACAAGTTTCAATCTGTGTTAGAAGATGCGATGAATAAATTGAGAATGAAAGCGGTCCCAGTATAGACCCTTGTGGCAGACCTGATCTCAACGTTAGATAGTCTGAACTTATATCATTTATGCATACTTTTTGTTATCTATTTTTGAGGTAGTTATTCATGAGTATAAGAGAATTTCTGGAAAAACCTATACATTGCATCATATTCAGTAGTAAGTCATGATGAATCGTGTCAAAAGCTCGACTGAAGTCTAACAAAAACTAATAGTGTGATCGGTAGCTTTGATGATGTCATCGGTTATGTGCAGTGTTATTTATGATTTCTCTACCTTCGTAGGAACATACCCTTGCTCAGTGGAAAGGGGGTTGGTAGGGAAAATTATACAATTATTCGTAGTATACAGAGTATATTGTTCTATAATTGGATTTATTCAGAATGTCTTATACATTTCTAATTTATCAGACCAGAAGAGCGAAAGAGAAATATGAGATTGTGACCCAGGACTCTAAACTCATGTGCAATTAAATGTTGTTTAACCTGGAACGAAACTAACCGTTGGTGAACCTGAGAAATGTGACAGTTGGCAACCCTGCGTAATATGTGTCAATAGTTGGCAACAATCAACTGTAATAGCCGGCAACCATGGAAATTGCTCGTTGGTAATACTGAGTATAAGTCACAGAACTTAACAGTCCGGGTTCTGTGGTCTGACTCTATCACACTCTGGCAACAATGGTTAAAATGTTGAACAGATGACAATCCTTTCATGAAACATTCAAAAAAGATAGAAATGTCAGAAATTCAGAACAAATGACAATGACAATTTGTGTTTTACATAAGTTATTTTTTTTGTGTGCGTAAAAAACAGGCCTATAATCATAAAAAAATATAGAGATTTCAGCAAGTTGCCTCTTTCTGTTTGTAACCTATGATGAAATATCATGTAACTGGACTACTGACCTACCTGTGTTTATATAATGCTGGTTTTAGTTTCAACCATGAGACACAATACCTCTCAGGTCTTCTGTACCTTCCTTACTAAATATGTGTCCGTGTGGGCCCCCTTTCAATATATATATATATATATATTCGAAGTTTACAATTGCTCCCACTAGATGGAAGTTGAGAACTAATTGGTAAAGCGTGAAGCAGTGTGTACCTGAATCTTAGCTGTTGCCTAAAGATACTATATTGGAGTAAAATGCTACATATGCTACATGCCTAAAGATACTATATTGGAGTAAAATGCTACACTACTACAAGGGTCAAGGGGTCGGCTACATGGCCACCGACCCCAGGGGAATAGCAGAGGAGGTCGGGCAAACCTCTCGAGGAAGCTATGACCAAGACCGTCTGTGCGCGATGTAGACTCGCATCCTGCCCGAGGTGACCCTGCATGAACTAAACACAGCGGATCTAGACGAGGTAGGTCGAAAAATTCCCCCAAGTCAAGGTGTGAGATTTCCGTGCCGAGGACTGGATGGTAGCAGGGAGTGCTATCAAGAACAGAGCCTCTGGGACACAGGGTCGAATCCCAGAGTACAAAGACCTTACTACGGCATGCGGGGCTCTGTCGTAGCGGACCAAAACTTCCCTAGCTACTCGTGGGATCTGAATGGATTCAAAAAATAAAAACAAAAAACCTGTCAAAAGGGCGGAGGTGACCACACCCAACCCAAGACAGAAGGCGGGCACGCCTGGTGCTAAGGCCACAAAAGGGCAAGCACCAAAAGCCAAAAACAAGGTAGTAGTATCTTCCCTAGAGGAACTAGAGCTACTATCAGACGATGAGGTGAAAATAGCACACCTCGGAGGAGCTTCGAGGTTGAGGCTTAAAGCCCACCTAGAAAAGGGCCTTGATTACATTTCAGCCAAGAGGCTGGTAATCAAGGAGAACTTTTTAAAAAGCAAGGAACCCGCAAAGCCCTTGAGGTTGGGACCTGTAGCAACAACGTCGAGGGAGGCCGGTGAAGGCACGAAAGCGACGAAACGACCACGGTCAACCAGTGCGACACCGCCACAGACCAGCCAGCTGAGGAAGAAACCAAGGCACGAAGGAGTATCCTTCAAAGATGCCCTTACCTCAGTAAAGGTTGCTGTGGTACACACGGGCTTCCCGGAGGTGAAAATAAGTACTGAAAGGTTCACAGAAGTCCAGGACTCAATCTCCGAGGCTCTAGATCAAATCCCCATAAAGGGACCCCAAGTGCGATTCGCAAAATGCACTCATAAACCGGGATACTTGGTTATGATGTGCGTGGATCGCACTAGTGCAGACTGGTTGAAGGAGGTCATCCCAACCATAAAACCCTGGGAGGGAGCTACCCTAACAGTGTTGGAGGGGGATGACTTACCTGAAACCTACGCCTGCACTACCTTCATCCCTGATGAAAGAGGGCAAAAGCCGGAGGCAGAAAAAATTCTGCACCGGCTCAAAGTCGCAAATCATGGGCTAAACACGCACCTTTGGACGGTTTGGGGCAAAACTCCTGCGGCCAAAGGTCAAACTTGGGTCTTCTCCATGGACAAACAGTCACTGGAAGAACTAGTGAAACTTGGCATGTCTCCCTACTTCAATCTAGGGAGAATTAAGTTCAGACAGAAGGGGAAACATGTCAAGGAACAAGAAGAACACGCCGAGCCGATTCCGGAGGCCCAAGAGGCACAAGAAGAGGACGAGACAGAGTCCTCCCAAAGTGGGAGTAGCCCTCTCAAGAGGCAAATAGCACATGAGAGCGCAACACCCATGGAGGAGGGAGATGCCTCGAAGAAGGCGGAAGAAGGGTTCAGTTCACAGAACTGAACCGTAGGATCAGGGTTCTGCAGTTGAATCTCCATCATGCCAAGGCGTCCAGCGCTATGGTATGTAGGAGATTTGACAAAGAGGGTCTCGACCTGGCCCTCTTGCAAGAACCCTGGTTACATGGAGGGAGGGTAGCTGGCTTGAAACCCAACCAAGGTAAAGTACTATACGTAGAAGGTAACAATAAACCTCGCGCATGCATAGTATATAGCGATAGAGTAAAATGCACACTAATACCGGTTCTCTGCACCGGTGATGTTGTTACAGGACTCCTAACCACGCCGACAGAGGAAGGTACCAGAAGCTGGATAGTGAGCTCCGCGTATTTCCCAGGCGAGGAGATTTGCCCACCACCGATACTAGGCGAAGTAATCGCATATGCGGCAAGAGCAAACCTCCAACTCATCATATGATGCGACGCAAATGCACACCATACTGTATGGGGAAGCACAGACGTCAACATAAGAGGTGAGTCACTTTTGCAATTCATACTAACAGAAAGGTTATTAATAGCTAATGTAGGATGCGAACCAACATTTGTCACGGCAGCGAGGAAAGAAGTTCTAGATATAACTCTCTCGTCAGAAAAAGCATGTGATAATATCGTCAACTGGCAAGTGTCAGATGAACCTTCGTGTTCTGACCATAGACAAATAAGATTTGATATAATTACCCCACCTCGTACCTTAACAAAGTACAGAAACCCCAGAGAGACCAACTGGGAAGGATACGCAACATCACTCAGAGAATCTCTACAAAGGACCACGGCTGACATAAGGGACAGCCACAGTCTTGAGAGGTCAGTAGACCAAGTAAGCAAGGCAATAGTTGCCGCCTACGAAGGTAACTGCCCGAAAAAAACAAGACAACAAAGCAATAAAACAATCTGGTGGAACAAGCATCTCGAATCCCTACGAGGGGAGGTGCGAAGGCTATTCAACAAAGCAAAACTCGACCAGAATTGGACCACATATAAGGTTAAACTCACGCAGTACAACAAAGAGATTAGGAAATCGAAAAGGCAATCGTGGAAAAAGTTCTGTGAGGAGGTCACAGAAACCCCCACATGTTCAAGGATCCACAAAGTGCTAGCCAAAGAAGGTACTGTAAACCAAGTAGGTTTTCTGAAGAAGAATGACAATACCTACACAGCAACTTTTGAGGAGAGTCTGAAAATGCTCACTGAAGCACACTTTCCGGCCTCAGTAATTTTAAATGAGCCGATAGTGGCAGACAGCACCATTGGCAGGCCGAATAGGCCAACTGCCATAGAATGGAGGCTAGCTACAGAGATATCGAGGCCAAACAGAATTAGGTAAGCTATTAATAAATTTGAACCTTATAAATCCCCTGGAGTAGATGGAATATACCCCATCCTGCTTCAAAAGGGGCAGGAAATACTAATTCCACATTTGTGTCGCATATTCAAGGCTTGTATAGCAATACGATATATACCCATAGTATGGCAGAAGGTGAC